CGGGTTCAACTCCAGGGAACTGTGCAGATACTGTACACAGGTAAGCTGAGGTCAAGGGATCGACCCCTGGGATCTGCATCGGCTACTGCCAAAGGTGAAAACTGTTTCATTACAGCAAGACAACTTATAAGTCATAAACATATTTGTGTTAATAATAAAATTATCCTTCGGCCTAGCTTTCAAGTTTCCAGTGGTGATCTTATTTCTATTCAACAAAATTGCAAGTCAACTGGTAGCGTTAGTTGTAGTCTTCAGCGCTGGGCGCCATAGCTAAAGTAGTGCTAGAGAGAGAGAGATTGGGCGGAGGCCAGGGATACTTACCTGCAGTGCTGTTGCTCGAGCTTCGTCTTCGAGGTACCTGCAGCACAGCGCCATCTTCACAGGTCAGTACCTGGCACATATGAGAGAGAGTTCTTCTTCTTCCTCTTCTCAGTCCACCATCTTCTTCTCACCCTCTCGCTATCTGACTTCACTGCATCAGCAGACTGAGAGAGAGAGAGAGAGAGAGAGAGAGAGAGAGCTCGGTGACAGTGGATCCAGACTCGACATGGGACTTCAGACATTTTGAAGAGGGATTATTTGGGACTGGTAACAAGACTTGGTGTTGACGACTTTCCCATCTCCCCTTTCCTCTTCTTCGTCTGATCCCCTCTTCGTCTGTGTATGTCTGGACCTGGCACATCTTTCCTGTGTATCGCGCCAGGCCCCTTCACACCTTGTGATGAGCATGATGTATGTTGGTCTGCATTGAAACATCGATTGGGCTAGTCATTAGTATTCTAGCATTCTGCTTCGCTATCTTGTACTGAATGAGGTCAGTCCCGGTCAGGTCAGGACTTGTATCTAAATCTTCCACTGCGCTATAAAACACCATTTTTGTATGTATCGGAATGCACATTGCTTGTTGAGATTCCACCTGCACTGCATTGTCCATTCAGTCCTTTTTATCACATTGCAGATCCTCGGTTTATATGTACATCGCCCAACTGGGCATGTAACACCCCCCGTAAGAACCCGGTCCGTAAGGCTATGAAAGTGAATTTAGGCCGGCGGGAGTAGTGCTGGTTTAAGGGGGAAAAAAATAAAAATAAACAAAATTGAGATAATAGAAAAATAATCTAGGCTGTTTTCCCGGGCGCCAGAGCACTCAAGTTGTGCCGTGAAAGACACCTAGGTGACCGGCGGGGGGTCCTGGACTGCCCCTGCACCAAAAAAAAGAAAAAAAGAAAAAACGAAATCCAAAAAAATCTCGGAAAAAAAATGTTGTGTAGAATTGTAATACAAACAACTTTTGGCTGAGGGTCACATCAGAATTCCTCACGGAACTGAAGATAAAAAAGAAAATAACCGAATCACACCAAGGCACACCCCTTTAAACCCCTTTGCAATCAGACATGCTCTCATTCACACTTCTGATGCATGCAAACAGGTGCGCAGCAAACTGGCGGCAACCGCCCACTCAGAACTCAGAGATATGGTAACCGAGAACACAGTTCAGATACAAGTTCACTTCGACGGCTATGGCCCACACAACTCTCTGTTCACATCCACAGGATCACCCTAGATATCCCACACGCGATACTCTAAACATACACACACACATACACTGCACTCTATCTAGAGCTATGGCGACTATGGCCGCTGCTACCCTATCGCTATGACTACACTCCTCTCTCGCCCGCTTCGTCCACGGGCTCACTGCCGCTGCTACCCTATCGCTATGACTACACTCNGCTACCCTATCGCTATGACTACACTCCTCTCTCGCCCGCTTCGTCCACGGGCTCACTGCCGCTGCTACCCTATCGCTATGACTACACTCCTCTCTTGCCCGCTTCGTCCACGGGCTCACTGCAGACCACCCCTCACAAGTCGCTTATGGCAGCGCTTCCGCATGGCTTACGCAGGAATGAATGAATGGCTGGGCGCTGCCGCTTGATTTATACTTCTGCAGCTCGTTGGTCTGGCCCCTTTCCCATGCCCCTAGTGCACACAGTCCCATGTGGTACTTGCTTGACTGGACCAGGACTGCCTAGGACTGGGACTGCTGACTCAGCACTGGTAGACTCCACCACTTGCCTCACCACTTGCCCACTTGCCTCAGCCTAAACGTGGGAAACTTCGAAAGGCCACTACTCGGACCTTCCGGAAGGCCGTAGACTTGGCCTTTCCATACTGTAGCAGCTACGACCTTTACCTTTCTGGACTGTAGCAGCTACGACCTTGACTCTTCAGGAAAGCTACAGCTACGACTTCTAGACCTGACTGAGACTCCTACTCGACAGGTCTACAGATCGAACCCCTGCTACCTATGGACCCTACGACAACCTACCAACTGTTACAAATACACAGGTCACGGGTTCAACTCTAGGGGTTGACACAAATACTGTACACAGGTAAGGTGGGGACTAGGGATCGAGTCCTGGGATCTGCATCGGCTACTGCAAACTGGTGAATACCGTTTCACTCCCGCCGGCCTAATTTCGAGGTCCTCCGGGAATAACTCAGTCCAAGGTAGGACCTTTCCCTTTCTTATCTCTCTCATAGGCTCTAACTATGTCTAGAGCGGTCTCTAGAAGTTCAGCTCTAGTGAACCAGCGGTCGTCCTCCGGTTCCTGATAAGCAAACAGGATTTTATACTGCCTGTGCGGACGACCTCTACCTCCTGTTTTGAACACATCTTCACCCACAATGTCGTCGATGTCGTATCTGCCGTCCATGTTTGGAGGGATCATGGACCGTCTAGATGGAAATTGTTGACTTGTGACACACGGCAGCAACTTTGATGAGTGAACACAGGGTAGGTGTGGAGGTGTGCTGGGATCTCCATGGTATAGGACGGCCTCTCCGCCCTTAACTTCTAGAACTGGCCACGGTCCTCTATACGCGGGCAATAACTTTTGCGAAATGTTCTGCTTAGGCACAAACTCTTTAGACTTGACCCAGACCAGGTCGCGGACCTGAAACTGCGATGGACGACGGTGCTTATTAGCCTGTTCTATCATTCGGTGCTGGGCCTTCCTGAGGTTCTCAACAACAGTGGCTATTTCTTTCTCGTGCTGTATTGCGAGCTCCCTAGTACCGGGCGGTAGCCTGTGAATCTGGTCCCGGTTAAGTCCCTCAAACAGTCTACGTGGTCTAAAGGACTTGTGCAACTCGTTGGGAGTGCGACATGTGGACAAATGCACGCTGTTATTGTACGCACTGGCTACCTTGGGTAACATCTCGTCCCAATTAATCTGATCAAGTCTGATGTAATGCACAAAACTTGTTGCAGGATCTTGTTCATCTGCTCTGTCTGACCGTTAGTATCTGGATGGCGGCCAAATGACATCAACAACTTAGATCCGTAGACTCTCATCAGCTCCTGCCAGTTCTGGCTGGTAAAACGTGTATCCCTATCACTAATAATAGACAGTGGGACGCCATGCTCACTAACCCACAAATCGAAAAACTTCTGAATAACTAACTTTGTACGTGCCTCTGCACGCAAAGGAACAAAAATAGCATACTTGCTAAATCGGTCGACTACAACCATGACTTGGTTCTTGTCGTGCCTTCTCTTGACACCGGCATCCATGAAGTCAATCGAGACTGAATCTCCCGGCTGGTCTGGAATAGGCAAGGGTCTCAGAAGACCTATAGGGGCACACGTAGTAGTCTTGTTCCTTTGATAGACTTTACAACTGCGGACATACTCTATGCAGTCGTTTTTCATTCCTGGTCATGTCTATGCGTGCATGAGATTGGCTAAAGTCTTTTGCCAACCGAAGTGTCCCTGTGTATCATGGCATTCCCCTAGGATCAAATTGCGGATCTCCTCACTGTTGGGAACGCATACGCAGTCTACTACATTAGTCTTCTCAAATAATAACCCCTCTATAGTGCGGTAATTTGGCTCGGTCTAAGGGGCCTCCTTAACCTTCTTGAGGAGGTCACTATAGATAGGGTCCTGCGAATACGCCTGTCTAACTTTCTCTTGCAGGTCACGCCCTATGTCCAGATAGTGAACTACGGCTCCAGAGTACTCAGAGCATCCGCAACTACATTGTACTTGCCCTTCACAGGCTTGAGCTCAAAGTTGTACTGGTCTATCTCAACGGCCCACCTAGTTAACTTAGGTGTCATCTTGGCCTGTGTCTTCAACCATCTAAGTGTCTCGTGGACTGAATACACCTTGAAGTGCCTCCCAAGTAGGTAATGCTTCCAGTGCTCTAAAGTCTGCCTGAGAGTGTAGAGTTCCCTCTCATATGTCGAGGTAGCAACCTTCGCTGAGGGCATCTTGGCTGACATGAACTCTACGGGTCTGTAACCATTGTCGTCGTCCTGCTGTAATACGGCGCCTATCCCATACTGACTCGCGTCCGTGGTGACGACAAATGGCAAGGACGGATCTGTTACTTTGAGGACAGGATACTCTATTAGTGCGCGCTTCAACCTCTTTAGTGCAGACATACAATCTTTATCCCATTGCCAAATTGCCTCTTTCTTGAGCAACCTGTGAAGGGGAGCGGCGATAGTCAAGAAGTTCCTTACGAACTTCCTGTAATAGTTAGCTAGGCCTAGGAACGACCGCAACTCTGTCAATGTGCGGGGCGTCGGCCAATCCCTACTCGCCGCTATCTTACTGTCCTCAGGCTTAATGCCATCTCCGTCTAGCACGTGGCCCAAGTACAGGACTTGTGTCTTGGCCCACTCGCACTTCTTCGCATTGATCTTGAAGTTAGCTTCTCTCAGCTTCTCCAAGACCTGCCTCAAATGACCCTGGTGCTCTTGGAGGGTCCTACTGAATACTAGAATGTCGTCTAGGTAAACTACGACGAATCTATCCAACCAAGGCCTAAACAAATCATTCATACATCGCTGAAATGTAGCTGGCGCATTGGTCAGTCCAAAGGGCATAACTATGAACTCATAATGCCCATATCTAGTCCGGAACGCAATCTTGTACTGGTCATTAGGATGGACCTCTATCTGATGGTATTCAGACTTTAAGTCTATCTTGGAGAAATACTCGCAACCCTGCACCCGATCTAAGAGATCGTCTATCCTGGGCAGTGGTTCAGTATTCTTGACTGTGATAGCATTCAGACCCCTATAGTCTATACGCATACGCAACTCTCCTTCCTTCTTGGGGACAAATAAGACTCTCTGCTCTAGACCCAGATCTTCCCAGGGCCGGCCTTGCGGCCAACCTGGGTGCCAACCTCCTCTCCTTTGAGGTGATCCTCCACCTCGTCTCTGTGGGGACCGACTGGGACCTTTACGATTTGGCGGGGGACCTTGACCCCTACCTCCCTCTTAGCGGTTCCTTTGGCTGCCAACTCCCTGAGCGCCCGATCCTCGGCCTCCCGTGGCCTGGCCCCTTTGGCCCTGGCCTCCTCCTCTGCTTTGCGGCCTCCCTCCAGCCTCGACAGCAACATAGGACCTCCCCCGGACCTCCCCCAACCCATGCTACTGTCCTCCTCCTCGAGGCCCCACTCAATCTGACTGTACGGGACCTCGTCGGTACCACCTTCTTCCAACGTAAGGATCATATGATCCTTGGCCCTGACTTGGCCAGAGATGGTACGGCTTTCCACTTTTTGCCCTTGTCCAAGTCCTTGTCCCAGAAAGTGGAGACTGGCATGGACTTGGCCTCAAACAAGACCACTTCCCTACTCAATGCATCGTATGTGATGTTGGGCTGCTGGGTCATGTCAAAGAAATGCCCTAGTAAAGGCTCTGGCATGGCACGATAAAACAATTGGACCAATTGGGTCTCAGTGACCCCATGGTCTGGGACGGCTACCAAGTCGTCCATAACAGCTTTGAGTGCGCTCGCAGGTTTGTAACTTATCAGAGGCCCTGACGCCTCTGGTGACGTCAGCAAACCTCTCGCGCAGGAGTTTGAGAAAAGTGGCGAGGGGGGTAAGCCTGGAGTATGCGATCATATTGTGGTCGCAATCTGCGCCTGTGAGGGACCTGGCGAAGCTAGCCGCTTCGTCTTTAGGGCGCGGAAGGCGACGAGGACTTGTTCCTTGGGGGCAATATGCTGTAAAAAGACGTGTTTATACTAGCCTCCCAATTATTGAAATTATCCTCCTTTTCGCTATACGAGTTAGGGAATTTTAGCTAGACTGGCTCTTTGCGAGGACACGCCGTGGCCTCTACTGTGGCCATCACTTTGGCGCTCTCAATGGCGCCTGCGCAAAACTTGTCTACGCCATCCCTCAATCTACTAATTTCGGACCCAACGTGGGTCACCACGTCGCTCGCAAACTCTTTGAACCCGGATCGCATTGCCTGCAGGGTCACCTCTTGACCCTTACGGGCCTGGTGCTCCTCCAACCAGGCCTCACTCAAAACTTCCAAGAAGCCCATCATCTTATCTAGCCTGGCAGGGATCTCTGTTTGGGCCTGCAGCTCATGCCTGCCGGTTCGCACTCGCTCAACCTCCAAGGCTATTCTGTTGGCTTCCTCCCTCCTTCTCTTCTTTTCCCTCATCATCCTCAACTTCCACTCCAACTTCTTCTCATCCTCTGTCACCTGGCGTTCCAGGGGATCCTTATCAGCTCTAGGGCCTTGGCAAACGCCTCCCTCTCCTCCTGCGGCACATATAACTGTGCTGCTTCATCTTCTCCCAATGATAAATTGGCTGTTTCCCTTTTGACTTTGGATCCTAGCACCCAAAGTCTATCTGCGCGATGCTCAGTTGCAAGTATTCGGAGTTTCCTTGGGGTTCGTCAAGCTTTGGGCCACCCTAGCCCATCGAGTGCTCTACCTCTTGCAATGTAGATCACACGTTCTACCTCAATAAATTTCGCGGAAAACCAACTATTTAGCCACCCATTCACTAATCTTCTTTTCCCTCCATTTGTCCTCCTCCTTCGTGCCACTGGCTTCTCCTCTCTCTTCCCCACGCCTTCTTTCAAGGGGCTCTTCTTCCTCTTCTACCTCCTCCTCTGCTGCGGCTTCTTCCTTTGCAGCCCTTCTTCTTTCCTTCTCCTCTCGCTGTATTTGCAACATCTTCTCGTTTTGAAATCTCAACATCTCTTCCTCTAACCTCTTCTTCTTCGCCGTCCGCTTCTCTGCAATGGCCTTTAACTTCGCCTGCTTAAGGAACTCTTTCTTCTCCTTTCTCTCTCTCAAAAGGGCGGCAATCCGGGCCTGCTCGGCCTCGGAGGGGGAAATACGCTTCCTACTACGGGTGTCAACCATGGTGAAAGGTGCACAACCAAACAGCGGTTCCACTCCTCACCGCTTAGACTCTACTCCCCCTGACTGACACACCTACTGACTCAATCTAAGGACTTACAGAATCCGGACAGGATCCTGTCAACTAGGGTCTCTAGCCTAGACCTACTCTTCTCCAATCATTTGCGTACTTGAACGCAAAAAGGCTGTCACTACAAGACCTGTTGCTGATCAGGAGGCATTTAAGGAGATCCCCCGTAACTCCTCATGAATTATTTAACGTCGCAGACAGGACGACGCGATCAGCAGGTCTTCAAGACGGCCTGTTGTGCAGCCCACAGCTCGGATTTTGGGCCTATTGTGCCACACCGAGCAGCCCGCCGGTCAGTACCGGTCCTTGGGAGGGTTCGTGCCCTCCGCGACAGTCGAGTCGTCAGACATAGTCTTTAGCCCTATTCATCCCGTGTGGGTTTGGTCAACAAGGCCTATCCTTCATCCACGGAGTCCTATCACCTGGACAGAAGAGACTCGGTGCAGAAAGAAGAGACAAACAAACTTGGCTCAACAAGTACCACAGGGTGTGTGCACAGTCATAGGGCGAGGGGATAGGCTGAAGGCTTGGCGAGATTATACCTGCTCCAGCTTGGTCAAAGTCGTGGTCAACGGCCTTGGTCAACGCCTTGGTAAACGCTAGGTCAACCCTTGGTCAACTCCCGGTCAACGCTTGGTCAACGCCGGTCAACACCTCCGGTCAACTCTGGCTATGGCGGCCGGCTTCACCTTCGTCGCCACCCTTCTCCTTCCTTCTCCCTCTTCGTTACCCCGTGGTCAAGCTCTGCTGCTATGGCCGCCTCCTCCTTCCTCGTGGGACTGCACGACACTCTTCAAAGGTATGTGACAACCAAACTTGTATCGCTCATCTCTCTCTCTCCCTCTCTCTCTCTCTCTCGCCGTAGCGATGTCTTCAACGCAGGTAAGTGGTAAGCCAATCTTGTATGCTCAACCTTTCTCTCTCCCTCTCTCTCTCTCTCTCTCTCTCTCTCTCTCTCTCTCTCTCTCTCTCTCTCCCCCTTTCTGTCTTCTTCTTCGTCGTGGTCATCTCTGCAGGTGCGCGGCGGCTTCTTCAACCTTCGTGTCCGTTATGGCGGATTTCTTCTTCATAGCCACTTCGGCTATGGCGCATCACTCTCCCTGCGACTCACAACGACGCGTGTGGAATAGCGGGTACCAGATCCGATACCAATGCAATCAGACTCGCCCTCATTCATACTTCTCATGCATACAAACAGGTGCGCAGCAAACTGGCGGCAAGCGCCCACTCAGAACTCATAGATATGGTAACCGAGAACACAGTTCAGATACAAGTTCACTTCGACGGCTATGGCGACTCAGCGCCCACACAACTCTCTGCTCACATACACATGATCACCCTGGATATCCCACACACGACACTCTGAACACACACACACACATACACTGCACTCTATCTACAGCTATGGCGGCTATGGCCGCTGCTACCCTATCGCTATGACTACTCTCCTTCTCTCTCGCCCACTTCGTCCTCGGGCTCACTGCAGACCACCTCGCACAAGTCGCTTATGGCAGCGCTTCCGCATGGCTTACGCAGGAATGAATCAATGGCTGGGCGTTGCCTCTTGATTTATACTTCTGCAGCTCGTTGGTCTGGCCCCTTTCCCATGCCCATAGTTACTCAGTCCCATGCGGTACTTGCTTGACTGGACCAGGACTGCCTAGGACTGGGACTGCTGACTCAGCACGGGTGGACTCCACCACTTGCCTCACCACTTGCCCACTTGCCTCAGCCTAAACGTGGGAAACTTCGAAAGGCCACTGCTCGGACCTTCCGGAAGGCCATAGACTTGGCCTTTCGATAGTGTAGCAGCTACGACCTTTACCTTTCTGGACTGTAGCAGCTACGACCTTGACTCTTCGAGAAAGCTACAGCAATGACTTCTAGACCTGACTGAGACTCCTGCTCGACAGGTCTACAGATCGAACCCCTGCTACCTATGGGCCCTACGACAGCCTACCAACTGTTACAAGTACACAGGTCACGGGTTCAATTCTAGGGGTCGACACAGATACTGTACACAGGTAAGGTGGGGACTAGGGATCGAGCCCTGGGATCTGCATCGGCTACTGCGAACTGGTGAGTACCGTTTCACCTTTAGCCCCTTTACAAATAATTTATACCCTCCCTTCCCCCTCCTTTAAAGCCATCTGAGAGCGCGGAAAATCCCCACTGCCATTTTTTTTTCCCTATTTTTTTTACCCATGCCCGGGTATCCTGGGCATGCCCGGGTGACCGACGGTCTAGACCAGCCGGTCATGAAAATCTTCCTAGAAAATAATATCAATTATTTCGAAATCGCAAGTTCGGTAGGTCTCCCAATCCCAAAGTCCCGAAGTTGAAATGAAAAAATAAAAATAAAAATCAAACTTCAGACTGCAGATGTCATAATGAAATGAAAAAGATAAATAATCGAACTGTAAAACTTTTTTGCAAGTTTGGGAAATTCAGAATTAAAAAAATTAAAATTCGGAATATTCCAGATGAAAGTAGATGCAGCAGTTTCCGATTTTGAGAAGTGGAATCCCCAAAACACAACTGCGAAGAGAGATTTACCAAAAAAAAAAAAAATCGGAATATTAAAGCAACGGAAAACTCAAATTTAAAAAAAAATAAAGAAAATTGAAATTTCAGATACTAAGTATTGCGTAATTCGCAATTTACGAAAAAATGAATTAGCGCAAAGAAGAATTCCCAAATTCAGCTAGGCTGGGCCGGCGCCCGGCCGGGCGGACCCTGGCCGGTTGGGCCCGGGGAGGTCCGCCCGGGTGAACCGGGCGACGCAAAAACAGGGCAAGGATTTTTTTTTTTTTTTTTT